AAGTACGCAGACCTCTGCCGCCAGCGTACCGCAAGAGCATCAAGAACAACAACTACCACCGCTGCTAATGCTGGACAGCCAAAGGCGGAGATGGCGTTTTTTGGTATTACTTGGAATTATCCTCGTTACTATAATGAGTCGGCTGAGGAGGTAAAAAAAAAGAAAAAGGTGATGGCGAGTTCTAATTCTGCGGGATTCGAAGATTTTCTCGTAAAAGCAAGTCATGATCATTATTGTGATAAGTACCCCTATTCTACTATTGATGGTGTACCGTGTTGGAAGAGGAAATTACTTGAGACGAGTAAAGTAGGAACGAAGTCATTCCAGGGTCCAGCAGCAGGGGATCACTCCGGTAGAGGAAGTAATGCTAGCTCTTCACCTCAAGTTACGCAGCCAAATGATAGTCTCCAACACGGTGATCCAGCAGCTGAAGTACAAGCAGGAAAGTCAGTAGGAACATCACCAGATGGTCGTGAAAGTGATTTGCAACCCAGTGTCCCTGAGGGTTCTGAAGCACAACATCAGTCGGTTAAAGGAGAAACAGTAACAACTCCGTCGACAGCAGAAAGCCAATCTCAGGGGTCTACTCCACCTACAAAAGGTGATGCAGCACCACAAGGTGATCAAGGAACACCGAGCAACACATCTGATAACAGTAAACCTGCCGATTCTAATGCTACCCAGCAATCTTCTCCTGTTCTTGATGCGACTGCCGTACCAGAATCACAAGAAAACAATTCCACTACTCTGCCGAGCCCCGAGAACACTACCACAGAAGCACCAACCACAACAACACTTCCTCCTGTAACCGATACACAGATCAGTACTATTCCTCCCAATATGCAGATGAAGGGTAATACTGACAGTAGCAGTGTGAGTTCTGTGTGGATGTGCACTGCAGCACCGCTGCTGATGGTGGCTGTGTTGTTCTCCGCTACTGTGTACTGAACGGTGGGAATCATCTGAGGTCAAATAATAATAATGGTAATACTAACATAATCATAATTGCGTGCACCTCCCATGGGTAAATAAACTAATAATCCGTTTACCAGCTTTCTCTTTTAATTCGAATTTCTTTTTTTTTCTTTTGCTTTTGTGTGTGTGTGTTCTTTTTCTAATAATTCTACTACTTGCTTTTCTCGTTGTGTGTGTTTGCAGAAAACTGGGCTGTTCTGCTCACTGACGGTATACATCTCTTGCTAGTACACACAGATGTGTGTCTCGAGTAATTTAGTATATATAAACTAGAACCGTGGGATATTGTGTGTGTGTTTGGCTCTCTCTTATTTGGGTATTCTGTGTTGTTTTCTTTTTTGTATTAATGGGTACATATTATTATCATGCAAGTGGATATTCCTTTTTGTTGCTTTACTGTGTTGTTACTGCTTCTCTCTCTCTACTCCACTGTGAGTATTTCTTGTATTGGTGTATCTTTGTTTGTTGCTATCTCTTTTTTTATTTCTTCCTCTTTCTTGTTTCAGTCTATTGAAATAATCAGCAACAATGACAAAGGCTCTAATGGTGAGGTGTTACCTGCTCTGTTTACTAACTCTTGCACTCTGTTGTGATTGTGGGTTAGTATGGGCTGATAGTTCTAAAGCTTCTGATTCCCTTATTGAAACTTCTACTGTAGGTGTTCCTTCTCTTGTTCATCATGCTATTCCTGCGGATGATGATTGGCTTGAGGTTGATGAAGCAGGTACGGAAGAGGAATTACCGAGAGATGAGTCATCCACTGTAGATCTTGAGAAGAAAGAGAAGTTGGGTATAGAGAGAACACCTCATTCTCCGAATT